TTATAAAACAAAAAATAATAATCAATGGATTATCATTATATTTTGTAAAATATAAATATTATACTTTATTTATATTTAGTAGTAAGCAATATGATTAAAATTTTCTTTTATAGTAAAAGATTCGTTAATTGTTAATGAGAATGAATGATTCTGATAAATAAATTTTTAAAATGTAAAGCTGATGAATAGATTATGTACGAACTTAATTGGCAATAATTAGGACAGATTATTTTATTCTAACTTTTGAAACAAAACTATTAATGAAAAGAAATTTATATTAAAAAATATGATATAAACAATAATTTTGAAATTTGGTTGATTGATAAATCAAAGAAGCAAGTTACTACTTGCCAGACACTTTTATTATTGATTAAGTCCTGCACATAATTAATTTCTATCTAACAATAAACAACTAAATAATAGTAAATTTTTAATGGATTTTGGTGAAAACTAATCTAAAGTTTATTTCAAAGAATTGTTTATAATACTTCTTGGTAATAGTTAACCTTCATTATAATAAAAGAAAATTTTATAATTATCTGTAAGGTTTTAGAAGTATTTAATAAAATTTTATAACAATGATTATGATTGATTTCAAGTAGAAAATTATAATTAATAAATACTTTCATATAACATTTTATTTATTTATTTTTTTGGCTTGAAAATAGAGCTTTAAATGCTATGAAAGTATATATTTAAGTAAGAATTTTATATTAATATTTTAATTCCTTTATACCAATTTAAATACATTTAATTAATATGAATAAACTTTTCAATATTGTATTTTGAAGATATTCTATTTAGCTTACTTACTCACAATAAAATAAGTCTTAAATAAATAAATGAATGAATATACAATTTTATCATAGATAAGAAATGTATTTTTTTAGGTTATTTCTAAAAAAACAAAGATAGGACAAAAATTTTTAAGATTAATTTTGATGATATTCAATGCAAAATTTCGTGAAGAAATTGAACAAAGATTTAAATTAATTCTAAAAAAAGATGACTATTTTAAGAAAATTATAAATTATATTTCAATAAAGATATAATTATTAGATTTTTTTATTCATGTAATGTCTAAATTGCTTTTTAACAAATAAAGTTTTATTTATTTCCTATTTAGTTAAATTATGTTTATGAGTAATTTTATTTATATTTGGTAACTTTCAAACTCCTCATTTAAATTTAGATTATTTAGTAGGTAAAAAAAATTATTTTAAATTTTCTGCTATTTTATTGTTTTGAAAACTTTGAAATATTTGATATCCGACGAAGAAAAATTAAAAGAAATAGAATTAAGCGAACTTGAATGGGATATATTGACTAACTTAAAAGACATATTTAAGCCATTTTATAATGCAAGAAAAATACTTTCATCTTATCTGAAGTTCTTAGCATAAAAATATTATTTATTTTTGAAGGACTATTTTCTCATTTAAACTCTGCTGACATTAGCTAATTCAAAACCGGATAATATACTAATTATTTAAAAGTCTATAAAAGGTATGATTAAAAAAATGAATGAAATATTATCAGACAATGATTAAAAAAATTTATATTAATTATTTGCTACATTGGACCCATGGATCAACCTAAGTTATATTAAAGAAAAGTAGTAAAAATATATTATTTCTAAACAAATTTAAGATTTATTAATACATTTAAAACTAAATTGCTAACAAGAAATAAGCAAAGAAAAATAAGAATAAGAATAAGAGGTAATTAAAGGTTTAGGTATATTTTCTTTTTAAAATTTTATAGAAAATAATAATGTCAAGATAGAATAAGAATATTACTCATTATAAATACAGTAATATATTAAAAGTAAAAATTTGCACAACTCAAAGTAGCAGCTAGAGATTTATTTACTATAATAACTTCAAATGTGTCTTGTGGATAGTTATTTTCAGCTGCTAATAACATTATTACTTAAAAAAGAAATGGATAACCAGGATAATAATTATAAGCATTACTTTGCCTATTTTCTTGGAATAATAAGCTTTAAAATGAAATTAAAAATTTAAATAATAGTTAATAATAAAAATATAAAAAAAATTTTATTTCATGAATTTTTATCTATTTATTTTTTAGTATTGATAGATAATACCGTAGTTTATTTATTTTTGTAAAATTTATAAACTTAAAAAATTTAATTTTTCAGTCTTTCAGAATTAAAAAAAATAGAGATTTAAAAAATTTTCAAATAAACCACAACACTCTCACTACTCAGAATATATAAATTTATTTACAGTTTAAAAATATAATATCAGTTATATTTATATATTTCTCAGTTGATTAAAAATAACAAAAGCATAGTAAAAGCCAAAGTTAACAAGTTTGAGCTAGCATAAGGACTACGAATAGAGTTAGCTTAGCAAATATTATTTGAATCAGCAGATTAGTCATTAGAGCAACTGGCAACACAAGCTGTTACACTGAAAAATTTTCCTGCAGCATAGGCTGTATGAGCTTTAGTGACACCATTGCAAGATTTACACATCCAACCGTTAAGATTAGCACCTGGATTAGCAGTACAATCTATAACTTCACAATTTGGAGTTGCAGAAGGTGTGAATAAAGCTTAGATTGTAGCATTAGTACCACATCCTTTACAGTCAGTAGCCTTACCACCAGTTGTACCTGCAGTACCACAAGCAACATCAGCACCTGGAACGGGAATTAATTAGCAAATATTATTTATATCAGCAGAATAGCCTACAGGGCAAGTGGCAACACAAGTATTTACACTGAATAATTTACCAGCAGAATAAACTGCATTAGCAACAGGGTTACCATTACAGGATTTACACATCCAACCATTAAGATTAGCACCTGGATTAGCAGTACAATCAATAACATCACAACTTGGAGTTGCAGATACTTTGAATAAAGCTTAGATTGTACTATTAGCACCGCATCCTTAGCAGTCAGTAGCCTAACCACCAGCTTAATTTGTAGTACCACAACCAACATCAGCACCTAGAATGGGTTAACAAACATTATTTTAATCAGGAACCTAGTCTATAGGGCAACTGGCGACGCAAACAGATCCATTGAAAAATTGACCTTATTAATAAATTTGATGAGCAACAGGGTTACCATAACAGGATTTACACATCCAACTATTGAGATAACTTGGATAATTAAAACAATTAATAACTTTACAGTTATTTGCTGCAGAAGGTTAGAAATAATTTTATATTCTAGTAGTACCACATCCATTGCAGCTAGAAGCATTACCACCAGCTTAATTTGCAGTACCACAAGGAACATCTGCTCCTTAAACTGGTTAGCAAATATAATTATAATCAACAACATAACCATTAGAGCAAGCATTGGTACAAGCATTTCCTTGTAGAAACTTTTTACCAATACCATAAGCAGTAACAGGAGTAACTGATTAACTGCAAGAAACACACATCCAACCGTTAAGATTATCACCTGGATCAACAGTACAATCCCTTACTTTACAATTTGGAGATGGAGAAACTACGAAAAAACCTATGGCTGCACTAGTAGTACCACATCCTTTGCAGTCAAGACTATTACTATTTTGATTTGGAGTACCACAATTAGAATAAAGACCCATACCTGCATTTACAGATGAAGATATATTTGAGATTACAGCTAAAATAGCTAATAATTTATTCATTCTTGGATATTTTTTTAATAGTTTTTTATTTCTTTAATTAATTATTTTTAAATTTCATTTAGTTTATGATTTAAATCAATTTTTGAATCCAGTCATTAAACAAGCATCTTTGATGGGGAATTTTTTTTTTTATATTTTAAAAGTATGGATAAGTAATAAGGTTAAGCAAAAAATTTTTGTGATAAAATATTGATGTTATTCAGATACAATCTTCATAATTTGCAGCAAAAATAGCAATATTTTAAGGATTAAGAATATAATTGTTATATAATGGATGGATGATGTATGAATATGCATTAACTTTTCATATGAACTAACTATATATATATATATATATATATATATATAAATAAAAACCATAAATAACAAATATTACTAATAATCCAATTTTTCAAAGCAATAGTTGATTTCAAGCTTGTCTAATCTATTATTTTTGTTTTCAATCATTATTAAGGTTGCTTGTAATTTTAGAAATTTATAAGCTTGAAAAGAAAAAGTATAATTTTGTTTGAGTTTTTGACAATTAGTATAATTCTACAAGATATAAAATATTGATTTTTTACACAAAAATATAAATTGAGCTTTTAAGAAGAGTTTTGATAGAAATTAACGCAATTAACTACAATTTTTTTCCAAAAAATTTTAGTATCTTTAATTAAATATTACATTTTATACACGAAAAGTATAAATTAATTAATATTTTTAAGAGGAGGGAGTTTTGAAAGAAATTAACACCATCAACCACTCTTTATTCCACAAATATTTTTTCCTTAATCAAATATTAGATATTATACACAAAAATATATAAATTAAGCTTTTTAAGAAGAATTTTGAAAGAAATAAGTGCTAACAACTACTCTTTTCTCCACAAATTTTCTGTGTCCTTAATGAAATATTACATTTTATACACTAAAAGTATAAATTAATTAATATTTTTAAGAGGAGTTTTGAAAGAAATTAATACCATCAACCACTCTTTTTTCTAGAAATCTTCTGTTTCCTTAATCAAATATCAGATTTTATACATATAAATAAAAAAATTATGCTTTTTAGGAAGAGTTTTGAAAGTAATTAACTCAATAGCTACTTTTTTTTCCACAAATTTTCTGTATCCTTAATTAAATTTAGATTTTTACACAAAAACATAAATTATATAAGCTTTTTAAGAAGAGTTTTGAAAGAAATCAACACTTTTAATCATTCTTTTTTTCCTACTATTTTTCTGTTTAATC